ACGTGACCGGCATGCGTGTGAACGCATCTAAAACGAAAAGCCTAGTGCTTTCTCGTTCTCCTGCCCATTGTCATCTTCAGATCAATGGAGAAGGAGTAGAGCAAGTAAAATAGTTCAACTACTTCAGAGTCGTGCTGACGATGGAAAATTCGAGGAAGATTTCGACTGCGGTTTGGAGTAGCGAGTGGCGTTCTGCGCCAATTTGCCCAAACTGTTGTTACTAAAGCAGAGATGAGTCTCAAGAGTAAGGTCTAAGTGTTCAAATCGATCTTGATGCCGATACTCATCTGTGGTCATGAGTGTAAAATTTCGATCCCTAGTGCAAACGGCTGAAATGGGCTCGCTGGTCGTATGTGTCTCAACATGGCCCAGAGTCCGCAAGAGCTTCAGTGAACAACTGCTGCTTCTTCAGACTGAGAAGCCACAGCTATGATGGCTTGGATTTGTGTTGTGAGTGCCTCCAGAAAGGAAATGCGAAGCAAATACTGCTTGTCTCGCTGATGTGCAGAAGGTCCAGGCCACTGCCAAGATTAACAAGTATATTGAAGGAGTTTCTGGCAGAGTTTTCTTCCGAAGTTCAGATGCTGACAGAGGATCAGGAACGTTAGAGGCACTGTCTAGTGCATCTTCTGGGCGATGCGAAGGGAAAAGAGGTCATGGAAAGTGAAATGAAGTGCGCAGTATGGTCGTCCATCGATCCAGTCCATTTTGCAGGCGCTGATTTGTGCAAGCAACTGATGAAAGTGATCCCTGTTTGAGTTGACGCTTCTAGAAACCGATTAACGTTAGTGTATGGTACATCAGTAGATGAAACAGACGAAATTGCTGAGAATTAGTGCCTGCTAATAGGACAGGTCAATTAAACGATGACAGCCGGTTCTGGACTGAAGTTGAGACTAAATGTCAGGCGATCACACCTAGGCACAAGACTAAACTGCTGTTCATTTGCTGAGTTTATTTAATAAAATTGGTTCTAAGTGAGAATTATTCGTTGAAATTTTTTTACATAGCAAAACTCAATTGATCTGAACTGAATTTTTCAAGCCAAAGATTGAAATGTACCTCGGCTGCCCATTAGCTGATGATTGCATCAGGAATGGCGTTGTTGCCTCGACGACGAATCCTAATTCAACGGAACGCGATAGACAAAGCATGATAGCTGGTTATTTTCGTTATAGGCAAAAACGACGAGAGCAGCGAACAGAGAGCTGTGCATTTCGGTTAAATGAACAAACTGAACATCTGTTCTGAATAAACGTGATTCATCGAATGTTGTCAAGGTTGCAACTGAAAATTATCGACCAGCTTCGACGACAGCGAAGACTCGTTCTGGTGACTTAGCGAATTCTGCAGATCGATGATTCCTATCCTTTCGTCCTCGCGTTCGACCGACCGTCTTTAATAAATTGTTCAGAAAAACATCGGTTGACGCTGCAACCAAGGAGAGGGAATCGTTTAGTTTAAATGCACCGCTACACCGCAAAGTCGTTACGAGTGAAAACGTTGTCGCATTGCTTCTGGGTGGCGAAGGGTAGCCTATTCAACTGAAATTGATTCATATATTCAGATGTTGTATCTGCGGTAATATTGGCGGAAAAAGAAGAAGGATTGAGTGACTGGTTTTCCTCTCGAGGCAGGTAAACTATCCATATGTAACAACTGTATGTAGAAAAACGACCATTCTTCTGCAACCCGACTGCCCTGCCGACTGGTGGCCGGAATCAGGACACTTGAAAAACGGCAGCTCGACGAGTTCTGGGCGCACTTGAAGCCGGATGCTGAACTGAATTAGTGACAGTTGTGCAATGGACACTAGTGATAGCAAGGACAGTCAGAACGGCAAAGCGCTGCCGCTGCAACCCGTCACCGGTCTTGTGTCTTATCGATGGATAGTGCTCATCCTATTCTGTCTACTCTCAATGTCCAACTCCTTCCAGTGGATCGAGTACGCTACGATCGGCCATATTGTCACCCGTTACTACAACGTCTCGTACTCGACCATAGACTGGATGTCCATGATCTACATGGTCTGCTACATTCCTCTGATTATGCCGGCCACCTGGGTGATGGATCGCTACGGACTGCGGCTGGTGGTGATATTAGGTGCGTTTGGCAATTGCCTAGGCTCTTGGGTGAAGTGCGCTTCCTCGGCACCCAATCGACTGGCCATCGGATTTTTCGGACAAACCATTGTCGGCATGTCGCAGATATTCATCCTCTGCGTTCCTCCTCGTCTAGCTGCCGTTTGGTTCGGACCCACCGAAGTTTCCCTTGCCACGTCAATAGGAGTCTTTGGTAACCAGGTAAGCTTTCGTGATTTTCTAAGCGTCACATCTTTATGGTATTTCTTTGCCTGCAGAACAGTTGACATCATGCAACTGTTCTATACGTCATCAGAAACGATCTTTCACCTACCTCGTTGCATAGATCGACAGATTATTCGACTGCGTTTTGGCAGCTTTTCGAAGTCAAGTGATAAGAGTGTATAGCCTGCTGACTCACAGTGCCAGATTTTTCATTGAAAAGCCTTGATTAAAACTCTCCTTTGAGTCACCCGAAATGGCAGTGCGCTAGGCAAATACTGTGTAGTGCGGGAGAGAACATGTTTTACTCTTAACACAGAGCAAATGATCTCAAAAAATGAAACTAGGCTTTGATTGGACCTCTTGGCTCTCTGCAGTCAAACAATCATCAAATCATGCAGTCGAAATCTGGTTCTACCTTTTGAAGCCATTTATCGTATGTTACGTAAGCTTTTTTTCTACCCTCATGATTTTAAGAGCAGCAAGGTATGCTTCAATCTTATTAGATGCTGAGCAGTTTGTCAGCCTATTAAAGAGTAAAAGAAACTTCGCAGTTCAATATTCACACGAAAAAGTTCAAAGAGTACGCTCTGTTAGCCTCCACAGCGACTGAGTAATGAAAGACTGAAGAAGTTTTCTGATACATCATAAATTTTTGGCACTTCTGTTCCCTTCTGGAACTGGCTGAGGGTGTCGTTTGTTTGTCATAAACATTTTTGGCTGGTTAAGCCTTAATATGTTGCTCGCCGCACACTTTCACACTGCCACTGTCAAGGGCAGTGATGATATTGACGAGAGAAGATTATCAATTAATAACATATTCGTTTAAGTTCCGCTGCTATGCGATGTGCTTGGCACTGATCTTTCTTAGTCCGGATTTTAGCTTTCATGGAAATGGCTGAGAGCCCTCGAGGTTTTATCGTTGTACTACAGATGATAAAACCATGGTAGTCTTCTATTTTTGAATATCTCCTGTGTTCGAGCGCGACTGCCTTGATGGGGTCATCTTTCTGTAGTCATTTCCATTGATTTTCAGCAGATGTCGCAACCAGCGCTACTAGCGACTGGTCAGACGACCTTCATGCAGCTGTAGCAAACTTGGTCTGATTCCATGTGGTACAAATAGGCTTTAATGATTTCCATAATTCCGTTCGATTCAGTGATGTAGGAAACAGCCTTCGCTCCTTCCCTTCCGCTTTCAGAACCTGTATTTCCTTCCTGCTTTACCAGTTTCAAACGGTTCTCCAGTGGCTTCGGTTCCTTGTCAATTGGATAAGTTTTACAATCTGTATTCAAAGGGTGACAATGCCGAGTACCCGACATACTCTGAACATGTGACCATCAATCTTCCATTTAGCTT